ATGACTCAGCAAAAATCCTTGGTGAAAAAGTTAGTTTAAATTACACATCATAAGGACATTACTGCATTCCCATAGACAAGTATGAAAAAATGCCTGTTGAAGAAGTTAATGCTGTATTGTTACACAAGATGGAAGATGATGAGCGTTACAAGGTAATTCTCAAGTTACATAGACAGTTCGCCCACCCACCGGAGAGGAAACTTGTTGCTCTTATGAAAGATGCAGGAGTGTGGCGAAATGAATTCCAGGACACAATCAGCACAATTTACGGAAATTGTCAGATGTGCAAAGCTTATACGAGAACACCTGCCAGACCTGCTGTAGCCCTGCCAATGGCATCACAGTTCAATGAAACAGTTGCAATGGATTGGAAGAAGTGGGGAAGTAGGTGGATTCTTCATTTGGTTGACATGTGGTCAAGACTTACCATTTCTGTGTTTATTCAAAGGAAAACCCCTAGTGAAGTAATTGACAAAATTATGACTCATTGGATCGGTGCAGGTTTTGGTGTCATGCAAGCTATATTAACAGATAATGGGGGTGAATTCAGTGCTGACGAGATGAGAGAGGTAGCCAGTATACTTAATGTCAAGGTTCACACCACTGCTGCCGAGAGTCTATTCCAGAATGGTCTGTGTGAGAGGATACATTCTGTTGTCGACATGATGCTCACAAAAATGGAAGAACAGTGTCCTAAAACGCCACTGAATGTTCTCTTGTGTTGGGCAAATATGGCCAGAAATGCACTACAAATGTGGCATAGGTATAGTAGTTATCTGCTTGTGTTTGGAAAAAATCCAAACTTGCCGAATATCATGACTGATGGTGTTCCTGCCCTGGATGGTGTGACCAGAAGTGAGGCATTTGCACAGCATTTGAATGCTTTGCATCTTGCCCGCAAGGCTTTCGTGGAGTCTGAGGCAAGTGAGTGGATACGTAGAGCTTTGTGATCCAAAATTAGAGCATCAGAGGAAATCTACAATAATGGAGAACAAGTTTATTACAAACGAGAAGGCAGTGAGAAATGGTTAGGTCCAGGCAAGGTGGTTTTCCAGGACGGTAAGGTTATCTTTGTGCGTCATGGTGGTGTATTTGTAAGAGTCTCCCCAAATAGACTGATTAAGGCAGGACATGAAATTGGTGAACAAAAGTGTGAAGCGGCTTATCTTCGAGGACAAGAATTTGAAAATGACAATTTGAAAAATCTACCTTTTGAAATGCTTGAGTGTGACAATCATGTGACTGTTTCTTCAGATTGTCAGACTGCCAACACAGATGGTGAAAGTGTTGATACTATCAGTCTATGTAAAAATGATCAGATAATGTTCAGGGAGACAAGCTCAGATGATTGGGTGATTGCCACAGTAATAAGTAGAGCAGGGAAAGTTTCAGGTCAAAATAGGAACTGGTTTAATGTGCAAGTAGTAAAGTAGCAAGAGTGTAAATCTGGAACGTGTTGATAGCTGGAAGCGTGTGACCCCAGAGGAAGTGAATATTGTTTCTATTCCAAAGTCAAGACATAGTGAAGAAAACTGTGTTAAAGCAAAACTAGAAGAATTGAACAAGTTGAAAGAGTTTCATACATATGAAGAAGTTCAGGACTGTGGGCAGAATAGAATTTCAACCAGATGGGTAATATGTCAGAAAGGACAACAAGTCAAGGCCAGACTTGTAGCCAGAGGTTTTGAGGAAGATGTGGAAATAGAGAGAGATTCTCCAACAATAGGAAAGAGTGCATTGAAAGCGTTTTTAGCTTTGGCAGCTTATCACAAGTGGACTGTAAAAACCACTGACATTAAGTCTGCATTTCTACAAGGCAAGTTATTGGATAGAGATGTGTTCATCATTCCACCTCAGGAAGCTGAAATGGAAAATAATGGAATCATATGGAAGTTGAAGCATTGTTTATATGGTTTGAATGATGCAGCCAGGCAATTCTACAAAAGTGTCCGAGATGAATTATTGCAACTGAGGTGTGTGCAATCTTCACTTGACCCTGCTTTGTTTAATATGCAAGACCATGGGCGTCTTATCGGCATGATTGCTAGTCATGTTGATGACTTTTTACATTGTGGACAGATGTATTTTGAGGCTAATGTGATTATGAAGCTTCAGGTGCGATTCTTAGCAGGAAAAATAGAAACAGGACAGTTTAGATATGTGGGTTTTCAAATCACACAAGATCCTGTTGGAATCATGGTAGATCAACAAGAGTATTTGGACGAGTTGGAGATAGCAAACATTTCATTACAAAGGAAGACACAGAAACATGAACCTCTGAGTCCTCATGAGCATACCAGGCCCAGAAGTCTTGTTGGAAAGCTCAACTGGCTTGTACAAGGTTCTAGGCCTGACCTTGCGTTCGAAATGATTGAACTCAGCACAAATTTTTACAGTGGAATTGTGGATGATCTATTGAGGGCTGTAAAAGTGATTTGGAAATTGAAAGACTCTGAAGCAAAGATTTACTTTCCATACATTGGACATTTTTTGAGTTGGAAACTTGTGGTTTTCACAGATGCCTCACATGCCAATTTATGTGATGGTGTGAGTAGTGTTGGAGCACGTGATTTTCACAATTTATGTGATGGTGTGAGTAGTGTTGGAGCACGTGATTTTCCTTGTTGGGGAGAATAATTGCTGCTGTCCTTTGGCATGGCATGCTGGCAAGATAAAAAGAGTAGTGAGATCTACAATAGCTGCAGAGACACTGAGTTTGCAGGAAGGACTTGAAGATGCATTCTATTTAAGAAAACTCATTGAAGAAATGACAGGCATGACAGGCATGTTTAACATTCATGCGTTTTTTGATAACAGAAGTGTGGTGGAGGCTGTACATTCAACCAGTCTTGTTGATGACAAGCGTTTGAGACTGGATATTGCTGCAATTCAGCAGTCTCTACAAAACAAGGAAGTGACCTCTGTCAAGTGGATTCCTGGTCATCAACAACTTGCTAACGCAATGACAAAAAGAGGAGCGTGTGGGGTTCAGCTTTTGAGTGTGTTGCAAAATGGACGTCTTCAAATTGATGGATGGTGACTCTGTGATGGTTTAAAAGATGCATGTGAGTGATAGTATGGGGCAGAATAATCCCCAAGGCAGGAGGGAAGTCTACCCCTGAGATTGCTTTTCACATGCCTGTGTACATTGTATTCTTTTAAATATAAGTTAAAAAGTCCTAAAATATTTTTGAAAACATTAATTTCTTTACAGATTTTTATGAACAATGTTTGACACTGACTTCTCTGCTGGCAAGTAATGAAGAAGAAAAAAAAATAGAAAAAGAAAATGTATTGAATGTTGATATATCGTCTGCTAAGCTAGTCCCACTGCGCATGTCGGAAGTTGCGCTGCTGGGAAAATCTTGTGTTGTGAGAAAGTGAGTGAGCATGTGCCGGCCGGCGTGACAGGTTGTATTTGTGTGAATGGTGTAAAGCTGATGAAGAATAAAAGAAGCAAGTGTCTACAGCGGTTGGTTTTGGTTATTGGACTGGCTTTAACACATTATGCCCCCAACTGTGTGCAGCAGGTTGTCCCATTTGGCGGCGGGAGTGTCATGGTATGGGCCGGAATTCATCACGGGGGTAGGATGCCTCTCGTGCATGTGGCAGGTGCATTGACAGGTGTGCGTTACAGAGACTTGATCCTACAGCCTTACGTTCTTCCTCACGTCAACGTTCATGGCAGACAGTTCCAGCAGGACAACGCTCGACCGCATTTTGCACGTGTTTGTCAGGACTTCTTACAGCACAACAACATCCAGACATTACCTTGGCCAGCCCGGTCACCGTTTTTTTCCCCGATTGAGCATCTGTGGGATGAGTTGGATCGACGCGTTCCAGAAGGAATCCAACAGCGTGTTATTGACAACTTGATTGCATCTATGGGTTGTCGGTGTCAAACGGTGATTGATGCACGTGGTGGGCACAACTGATACTGACATTTTCTATACCCCTGTGACATTAACTGTATCGTGTACGTGTGTCTGTCTAGGTGACACGATTAATGTTTTGAACATTGTGTACATTGATCTTCAAACAGTGTTACAATTATGGTTTCTGAGTCCTATTTTGAAACAATCGCGTTATATTACATTTTGAAAGTCAGTGTCAAGTTTCTTTTTTGAAGAGTATACAAAGTAATATTGCCCCAACTTATCTTAAAGACATTGTGACAGCCACTGTAGGTTCAAATGTATCATATAATTTAAGAAATTCAGACAATATTGTGATTCCATATACGAGATAAAAACACTCAACATGTTCTTTTATTCCATCAACTGTTAGGTTATGGAACACTATTCCTGCAGCAGGTAGAAATTGGACATCTACATCCCAATTCAAGACATACATACAAAAAGCGCAAGTTATTGCACCTCCATATTTTTCCTATGGTGTTAGAAAGTTGAATATTTATCATAATCAATTAAGATACATGAAAAGCCAGTTAAATTATGATTTATACAGAATATATATCAAATGTGATCCAATATGTCAATGTGGTAATCCATGTAAAAATGCTTTTCATTATTTATTAGAGTGTCCATTGTATGTCCACCAAAGAAAATCTATGTTGACCATAATTCGGGACATTTTACAGAACGCCGTGAACAAAAATGTTAAATTAGATTCAGGTTTGATGTTAAATGAAAATGAATGTTTGTCCATTATCAAAAATCAACATATCTTTAAGGCAGTGCAAATGTTTCTAAGTCATACAAAGAGATCTGGGCGACGCCTTAATGTAAATATACTAGTCTCCCTTTTGTACATGTATTTCTTTTGTCAGCTATACACTCATCTTCTTTTCTGTTTTCCTTGCATATGATTTACTGTACAAGCTTTGTAAATACCATGGAGAGGGAGTCCTAAGTTGTATTTCAATCTGAATAAAATATGTTTAAACTAAAACTAACTAGATGGAAAGATGACAGATAATGCACAACAATGCACAGACTGGAGAGTCAGAGAGCATCTGGTGACTATCCTGAAGAACTCACCTTCTGTATGGTGTTGATGAGGAGGACCAGCATCTCGTGGTCCTCATGCAGCAGCAGGCACGACATCAGGTAACCTGAAACACACCACACTCAGTTGATTGTGTACAACTGGTGATGTCACTAACCAAACACATTAAAACCCTGTGTGTTACACCCCCAGGGCTGTACTGACCCCATGTATTACACCCCAGGGCTGTTCTGACCCCATGTATTACACCCCATAGCTGTACTGACCCCATGTATTACAGCATCTGTATTACATTGTACCTCTGTATTACATTCCAGGGCTGTTCTGACCCCATGTATTACACCCTAAGGCTGTACTGACCCCCATGTATGACACCCCAGGGCTTTACTGACCGTATGTATTACACCCCCAGGGCTGTACTGACCCCCATGTATTACACCCTAAGGCTGTACTGACCCCATGTATTACACCCCAGGGCTGTACTGACCCCATGTATTACACCGCAGGGCTGTACTGACCCCATGTATTACACCCCAGGGCTGTACTGACCCCATGTATTACACCCCAGGGTTGGACTAACCCCATGTGTTACACCCCCTGGGCTGTACTGACCCTCTGTATGACACCCCCAGGGCTGTAGTGACCACTCTGTATTACAACCCGGGGCTGTACTGACCCCAATGTATTACACACAAGGGCTGTACTGACCCAAAGTGTTACGCCCCCAGGGCTGTACTGACCCCATGTATTACACCCCAGGGCTGTACTGACCCCATGTATTACACCCCAGGGTTGTACTAACCCCATGTGTTACACCCCAGGGTTGTACTAACCCCATGTGTTACACCCCCTGGGCTGTACTGACCCTCTGTATGACACCCCCAGGGCTGTAGTGACCACTCTGTATTACGTCCCCAGGGCTGTACTGACCCCATGTATTACACCCCAGGGCTGTACTGACCCCATGTATTACACCCCAGGGCTGTACTGACCCCATGTATTACACCCCAGGGTTGTACTAACCCCATGTGTTACACCCCCTGGGCTGTACTGACCCTCTGTATGACACCCCCAGGGCTGTAGTGACCACTCTGTATTACAACCCGGGGCTGTACTGACCCCAATGTATTACACACAAGGGCTGTACTGACCCAAAGTGTTACGCCCCCAGGGCTGTACTGACCCCATGTATTACACCCCAGGGCTGTACTGACCCCATGTATTACATCCCAGGGCTGTACTGACCCCATGAGTTACACCCCCAGGGCTGTACTGACCCCCATGTATTACACCCCAGGGCTGTACTGACCCCTCTGTATTACACCCCAGGGCTGTACTGAACCCCATGTATTACATCCCCAGCGTAGTACTGACCCCAGTGTAGTACTGACCCCAGTGAATTACACCTCCAGGCCTATACTGACCCCCTGTATTACATCCGAGGGTTATACTGACCCCCATGTATTACACCCCCTGGGCTCTACGGTACCCATGTATTACATCCAAGGGCTGTACTGACCCCCATGTATTACACCCCAGGGCTGTACCAACCCCCATGTATTACAACCCCAGGACTGAACTGACCCCATGTATTTACACCTCCAGGGCTGTACCGACCCCCATGTATAATACCCTAGGGCAGTACTGACCGAGCCTCTTGTGTATGCCCACCCCCTGCTGGGCCAGCTTGATGGTGTGGATGGTGGCGAAGGACACATCGTAGCCAAGGGTCAGGCAATACAGCAGCCGACTCAAGTTCTCTTTTAGCTGCTGCTAAAAAGTTGAAGCATGTTTTGATTAATGAAAAATAGAGTAACTTGACACAGGAACAGAATCTGTGAGGGGCGACAATTTGCCAAACCAGTGTATAAATGAAAGAATACCTGATGTCAAAGTCATCATCCATAGTCATATTAACTCATAACTACCTGATATCAAAATCATTATCCACAGTCATATTAACTCATAACTACCTGATGTCAAAGTCATTATCCACAGTCATATTAACTCATATCTACCTGATATCTAAGTCATTATCCACAGTCATATTAACTCATATCTACCTGATATTAAAGTCATTATGCACAGTCATATTAACTCATAACTACCTGATATCAAAGTCATTATCCACAGTCATATTAACTCATATCTACCGGATATCAAAGTCATTATGCACAGTCATATTAACTCATATCTACCTGATATCAAAGTCATTATCCACAGTCATATTAACTCATATCTACCTGATATCAAAGTCATTATTCAGTCATATTAACTCATATCTACCTGATATCAAAGTCATTATGCACAGTCATATTAACTCATATCTACCTGATATCGAACATTTCACTCAGAATCATAAAAACTATCACACAGAAGTATATCTTTGCATATTGCTAGTGATGCAAGACACTGATAGTAGGTAAACAAAAAAGAAAGACAGTTTCTGACTGACTGACTGACTGGCTGACTGACTGACTGACTGACTGAATGACTGAATGACTGAATGACTGACTGGCTGGCTGGCTGACTGACTGACTAACTGAATGACTGACTGACTGACTGGCTGGTGTTGACTAACTTACCCCGGATTGGTTCAGCTGAGAGAAGCGCTGCTGCAGGAAGGACAACTCTTTCTGGATGATCAGCTCCTCATCCTGCAGAGTGAAACAAGCATGAGATAAACATGATGCAAGAAGGATGGAAAGGACCAGGATAGGGGCTGCAGAGTGAAACAAGCATGAGATTAACATGATGCAAGAAGGATGGAAAGGACCAGGATAGGGGCTGCAGAGAGAAACAAGCATGAGATTAACATGATGCAAGAAGGATGGAAAGGACCAGGATAGGGGCTGCAGAGTGAAACAAGCATGAGATTAACATGATGCAAGAAGGATGGAAAGGACCAGGATAGGGGCTGCAGAGTGAAACAAGCATGAGATTAACATGATGCAAGAAGGAAGGAAAGGACCAGGATAGGGGCTGCAGAGTGAAACAAGCATGAGATTAGCATGATGCAAGAAGGATGGAAAGGACCAGGATAGGGGCTGCAGAGTGAAACAAGCATGAGATTAACATGATGCAAGAAGGATGGAAATGACCAGGATAGGGGCTGCAGAGTGAAACAAGCATGAGATTAACATGATGCAAGAAGGAAGGAAAGGACCAGGATAGGGGCTGCAGAGTGAAACAAGAATGAGATTATCATGATGCAAGAAGGAAGGAAAGGACCAGGATAGGGGCTGCATAGTGAAACAAGCATGAGATTTACATGATGCAAGAAGGATGGAAAGGACCAGGATAGGGGCTGCAGAGTGAAACAAGCATGAGATTAACATGATGCAAGAAGGATGGAAAGGACCAGGATAGGGGCTGCAGAGAGAAACAAGCATGAGATTAACATGATGCAAGAAGGAAGGAAAGGACCAGGATAGGGGCTGCAGAGTGAAACAAGCATGAGATTAACATGATGCAAGAAGGATGGAAAGGACCAGGATAGGGGCTGCAGAGTGAAACAAGCATGAGATTAACATGATGCAAGAAGGATGGAAAGAACCAGGATAGGGGCTGCAGAGTGAAACAAGCATGAGATTAACATGATGCAAGAAGGATGGAAAGAACCAGGATAGGGGCTGCAGAGTGAAACAAGCATGAGATTAACATGATGCTAGAAGGAAGGAAAGAACCAGGATAGGGGCTGCAGAGTGAAACAAGCACGAGATTAACATGATGCTAGAAGGAAGGAAAGGACCAGGATAGGGGCTGCAGAGTGAAACAAGCATGAGATTAACATGATGCAAGAAGGATGGAAAGGACCAGGATAGGGGCTGCAGAGTGAAACAAGCATGAGATTAACATGATGCAAGAAAGATGGAAAGAACCAGGATAGGGGCTGCAGAGTGAAACAAGCATGAGATTAACATGATGCAAGAAGGAAGGAAATGACCAGGATAGGGGCTGCAGAGTGAAACAAGCATGAGATTAACATGATGCAAGAAGGAAGGAAAGGACCAGGATAGGGGCTGCAGAGTGAAACAAGCATGAGATTAACATGATGCAAGAAGGATGGAAAGAACCAGGATAGGGGCTGCAGAGTGAAACAAGCATGAGATTAACATGATGCAAGAAGGATGGAAAGGACCAGGATAGGGGCTGCAGAGTGAAACAAGCATGAGATTAACATGATGCTAGAAGGAAGGAAAGAACCAGGATAGGGGCTGCAGAGTGAAACAAGCATGAGATTAACATGATGCAAGAAGGATGGAAAGGACCAGGATAGGGGCTGCAGAGTGAAACAAGCATGAGATTAACATGATGCTAGAAGGAAGGAAAGAACCAGGATAGGGGCTGCAGAGTGAAACAAGCATGAGATTAACATGATGCAAGAAGGATGGAAAGGACCAGGATAGGGGCTGCAGAGAGAAACAAGCATGAGATAAACATGATGCAAGAAGGAAGGAAAGAACCAGGATAGGGGCTGCAGAGTGAAACAAGCATGAGATTAACATGATGCAAGAAGGATGGAAAGAACCAGGATAGGGGCTGCAGAGTGAAACAAGCATGAGATTAACATGATGCAAGAAGGATGGAAATGACCAGGATAGGGGCTGCAGAGTGAAACAAGCATGAGATTAACATGATGCTAGAAGGAAGGAAAGAACCAGGATAGGGGCTGCAGAGTGAAACAAGCATGAGATTAACATGATGCATGAAGGATGGAAAGGACCAGGATAGGGGCTGCAGAGAGAAACAAGCATGAGATTAACATGATGCTAGAAGGAAGGAAAGAACCAGGATAGGGGCTGCAGAGTGAAACAAGCATGAGATTAACATGATGCAAGAAGGAAGGAAAGAACCAGGATAGGGGCTGCAGAGTGAAACAAGCATGAGATTAACATGATGCTAGAAGGAAGGAAAGAACCAGGATAGGGGCTGCAGAGTGAAACAAGCATGAGATTAACATGATGCAAGAAGGATGGAAAGGACCAGGATAGGGGCTGCAGAGTGAAACAAGCATGAGATTAACATGATGCAAGAAGGAAGGAAAGGACCAGGATAGGGGCTGCAGAGTGAAACAAGCATGAGATTAACATGATGCAAGAAGGAAGGAAAGAACCAGGATAGGGGCTGCAGAGTGAAACAAGCATGAGATTAACATGATGCTAGAAGGAAGGAAAGAACCAGGATAGGGGCTGCAGAGTGAAACAAGCATGAGATTAACATGATGCAAGAAGGATGGAAAGGACCAGGATAGGGGCTGCAGAGTGAAACAAGCATGAGATTAACATGATGCAAGAAGGAAGGAAAGAACCAGGATAGGGGCTGCAGAGTGAAACAAGAATGAGATTAACATGATGCTAGAAGGAAGGAAAGAACCAGGATAGGGGCTGCAGAGTGAAACAAGCATGAGATTAGCATGATGCAAGAAGGATGGAAAGGACCAGGATAGGGGCTGCAGAGTGAAACAAGCATGAGATTAACATGATGCAAGAAGGATGGAAATGACCAGGATAGGGGCTGCAGAGTGAAACAAGCATGAGATTAACATGATGCTAGAAGGAAGGAAAGAACCAGGATAGGGGCTGCAGAGTGAAACAAGCATGAGATTAACATGATGCAAGAAGGAAGGAAAGAACCAGGATAGGGGCTGCAGAGTGAAACAAGCATGAGATTAACATGATGCTAGAAGGAAGGAAAGAACCAGGATAGGGGCTGCAGAGTGAAACAAGCATGAGATTAACATGATGCAAGAAGGATGGAAAGGACCAGGATAGGGGCTGCAGAGTGAAACAAGCATGAGATTAACATGATGCAAGAAGGAAGGAAAGGACCAGGATAGGGGCTGCAGAGTGAAACAAGAATGAGATTAACATGATGCAAGAAGGAAGGAAAGAACCAGGATAGGGGCTGCAGAGTGAAACAAGCATGAGATTAACATGATGCAAGAAGGAAGGAAAGAACCAGGATAGGGGCTGCAGAGTGAAACAAGCATGAGATTAACATGATGCTAGAAGGAAGGAAAGAACCAGGATAGGGGCTGCAGAGTGAAACAAGAATGAGATTAACATGATGCAAGAAGGATGGAAAGGACCAGGATAGGGGCTGCAGAGTGAAACAAGCATGAGATTAACATGATGCAAGAAGGAAGGAAAGGACCAGGATAGGGGCTGCAGAGTGAAACAAGAATGAGATTAACATGATGCAAGAAGGAAGGAAAGGACCAGGATAGGGGCTGCAGAGTGAAACAAGCATGAGATTAACATGATGCAAGAAGGAAGGAAAGGACCAGGATAGGGGCTGCAGAGTGAAACAAGCATGAGATTAACATGATGCTAGAAGGAAGGAAAGAACCAGGTTAGGGGCTGCAGAGTGAAACAAGCATGTTGGTATGTTGTATAGTGGAGCATCATGTTGATGAGAATGTGCAGCGTGTTGGTATGTTGTATAGTGAAGCATCATGTTGATGAGATTGTACAGTGTGTTGGTGTGATATATAGTGGAGCATCATGTTGATGAGAATGTGCAGTGTGTTGGTATGTTGTATAGTGGAGCATCATGTTGATGAGATTTTGCAGTGTGTTATATAGTGAAGCATCATGTTGATGAGAATGTGCAGTGTGTTGGTATGTTGTATAGTGAAGCATCATGTTGATGAGATTGTACAGTGTGTTGGTGTGATATATAGTGGAGCATCATGTTGATGAGAATGTGCAGTGTGTTGGTATGTTGTATAGTGGAGCATCATGTTGATGAGATTGTACAGTGTGTTATATAGTGAAGCATCATGTTGATGAGAATGTGCAGTGTGTTGGTATGTTGTATAGTAGAGCATCATGTTGATGAGATTGTACAGTGTGTTATATAGTGAAGCATCATGTTGATGAGAATGTGCAGTGTGTTGGTATGTTGTATAGTGAAGCATCATGTTGATGAGATTGTACAGTGTGTTGGTGTGATATATAGTGGAGCATCATGTTGATAAGAATGTGCAGTGTGTTGGTATGTTGTATAGTGGAGCATCATATTGATGAGATTTTGCAGTGTGTTATATAGTGAAGCATCATGTTGATGAGAATGTGCAGTGTGTTGGTATGTTGTATAGTGAAGCATCATGTTGATGAGATTGTACAGTGTGTTGGTGTGATATATAGTGAGCATCATGTTGATGAGAATGTGCAGTGTGTTGGTATGTTGTATAGTGAAGCATCATGTTGATGAGATTGTGCAGTGTGTTGGTATGTTGTATAGTGGAGCATCATGTTGATGAGATTGTGCAGTGTGTTATATAGTGAAGCATCATGTTGATGGGAATGTGCAGTGTGTTGGTATGTTGTATAGTGAAGCATCATGTTGATGAGATTGTACAGTGTGTTGGTGTGATATATAGTGAAGCATCATGTTGATGAGAATGTGCAGTGTGTTGGTATGTTGTATAGTGAAGCATCATGTTGATGAGATTGTACAGTGTGTTATATAGTGAAGCATCATATTGATGAGATTGTGCAGTGAGTTGGTATGTTATATAGTGAAGCTTCATGTTGATGAGATTGTGCAGTGTGTTGGTATGTTGTATAGTGGAGCATCATATTGATGAGATTGCACAGTGTGTTATATAGTGAAGCATCATGTTGATGAGATTGCACAGTGTGTTATATAG